CTATAATTATAAGGTCTTCTCCTATCTATGAAAATTAAATATCACTATAGCTTCGATCTTCCTTTCCTTACCACCAACTTTAGTATATATATAATAAGTGGTAGGCTTTCTTAGTTGGTAATTTAGTTATGTCTTTAGTATTTTATAATATTTCTAAGAATATTATAAAATACTAAGTCTATAGCGCTTGAATAAATAGCTTATAATTCTCCTAGCCACTAAAAATAGCTTTCAAGGGGATTTTCAGGTATTCGCCTTTCTTCTATATCTATATCTCTATTGGAATCTCACACGCTAATGCCCGCGCTTAACCCATAGACTAAAAAGGTCATAGCCAGATCTCTCGGTACGAGAGATCGACTGCATTCGTATATATACTAGGTGATAAGCCAGTTATCACACCTTATTTATGGTTATAATATTACTTCTTTTATATTCTATTCTATTTGTAAATAAATTAGTAATAGGTTAAACTTAGTATTTAATATTTCTACCGCAATTATCCTAAATACCTCGCTAATAAGGTATATTACGCGGTTTTAAATAGAAACAGGTTTTTACGAGATATTTTATACTATAGCCTTTATAGTCAGTAGTAGTTAATATTATATAGCTATACTATATAGTATTTATAGGATAAGCACTATATGGTAGATCTATTATAGAGTAGTGATAGAGGATCTCTATGTCGATTCTATAAGGCTATAAAGGGATTAATTTCTACCTTTATAAGCCTTTTTACGTAATAGTAGTAAACTTTAGTTTAGGATTAAGCTTGAAACTGAGATAGCGTTTCGCTATTTTTATCACTTTAATTTATACCTATAAACCATTTATGAAGCGTAGATTAAGGGGTGTTTTATCTAGTATTCGCTAAATTTAGTTACTATTACTATAGCATTATCTTCCTAACTATTGGATATTATAATTCTTATACTTCTATTTAATAGAAAGGCTCGCACTCAGGGTATAAGCTAGCCTAGTCTACGCTTATAGAGATTATATAATAGCTATATATAAAATATTAGAAGCCGTAATAGGTATACCCTCACCCTATATAGTATAAATATAGTGAAGTATAATTTAAATTATATAGTCTATAGAAATACCCTTATAGCCTCTAAGATATATATTTATTTTACTTTATAGCTAATATGTCTAGCTATATAGGATTTTACGAACTTACTAGGAGGATTTAAGAAAGTAACTAATTAGTAGGACTTGGCGATTTAAAAGTTATAAGGTCTTAACTTTACGTAAGATAGTAGGCTAGGTTATAGCTATTTTAGGTATATATATTAAATAGATAATATATTATATTTAGCACTTCTAGAAACTAAATTAGTTAATACTAGAGTTAATTTAGAATACTATCTTCTTTAGCGCTTTATCTATTAGGTTTTATTACATAGTCTTTTTGATCTTATATTTACTAATATTAGGGAAATTAATCTTAGGGTACTTATAAAAGATATCGTTAACTTATTTTATGGGATATTAGAAGCCTATAATATCACTTAGGTTAGGCTCTAAGGGTTATAAAAAGAATATAGTATAGAAGGCCTTAGCCTTTTACTTTACAGTCTCTATAAGCCCTCTATCCGGATACTTTAATAATAAGGTAATACCTTTACTATATAACCCTTGGCGGCTTTAAGCCTATTTTATAATACGCTATATATCTCTTAGGCCTTCCTTAATAAATTACCATACCTAATGGTAATATCCTCTTAATAATTCTTTTCTTAATTAATCTATTCTTATAGTTACGTTAATATTTACATTTTTTCTAGGTAGCTAGGTTTTATATCCTAGACTAAGATTATTAATAGCTTTATCTAAGGTGTAGAGATATTAATTACTCCTTAAATAACCCTAGCTATATTCCTTATAAGTAGGCTAGATTAGACCTATAGTATATATCTCTTAATATATTATTAGAGGGTATCTATATTAGTAGCTTTCTAGTTCCGCTAAAGTTTCAGTACAAATATTAGAGTCTAGATATTAAGAGTTATTTAGATAGGGAAATAGTTAGAGGAGTATCTATTATTATTAGCTCATTTATACTAAATTAGTTAGTTTATAAGGTTATAGCTAAAAAGATAAGATTAATAACTTAGGATTATTTATTCCTAAAGTATATTAGTACGCTTTTCTTAGTAATAATCTTTATTGAACATATATTTATAGTCTCTAATAAGTACTTAACTTTTATATTAATATAGGCCTATAGGCCCACTTAGATTAAATAGTATATATTTATACAATTACTAGTTTAGTAGTTTAGTAGTTTAAATATTATCATTATTATCATTATTATCATTATTATCATTATTATCATTATTATCATTATTATCATTATTATCATTATTATCATTATTATCATTATTATCATTATTATCATTATTATCATTATTATCATTCTTATTATTTATTGTTGATTAGAGTTAGAGCTATAAATTAGGGTAATATTAAGCGGAAGCGGTAGTTATCAAAGTTACTTATAGATTATAGATTATACTTAATCTTAATAATTATTTATTAATTAGCGTAGAGCTCGCTAATAAGTACCCTTAGAGAGGTTAATTTATTACTATAGGTAGCTTAGCGGCGGTATGGCTCTTATATCTATAGAGGTCTATTACTAGCCCTATATACGGAAGTCGCGCTATATTACCGCGGACGGAATAGTAAAGGCGATGCTTAATAGAGAAGACTCTATTTATTATATATATTTCTTAATCTACTTACTATCCTAGACGATTTTATCTAAGGCCTAATAGACTTTAATAAGCGAACGTGCGTTACCTTAGAGGGCGTTTATAGTATATTACTTGATATTCTAGATAAATTCAGTGATAAATTGATACTACTTTCCTTATTAGTTAATATATTAAAGCCCCTCGCGCGTACCCTAAGCGATTTTATCTATAGTAAGGGCGGAGGTAGGTTTTATAGGTATATTCTATAATTTGTCACTTTTTTAGGTATTAAACTATAGTTTAGGGGATTACTTACGTACGCTAAAGGGATTACTTACGTACGCTAAAAGAACCTCTAATTATACGACTACTAAGTCTCCCTACAGAATATAGTGTTGGAATATCGACCAATATATATAAGTGGATCTACCCTCTTATTATTCAACATAAAAGAGGACAAAACTAGGTTTAGGCTAGGAAACCCTAAACCCTAGTTAGACATTCATTATATATCCTGGCGCGTGGAAGATGGTCGACAATCACGTGACCAAATGGACCTTAGCCCTAGAAGAGTAGGGGGGACCAGTCTCCTGGGGGGTGGATGGCCCTTCTTTAGGGGTAAATGGCACTCGCGCTAGGGGGTGTGTATAGGCGGTCAATACCGCCTAGATTCTTGGCTCTTTTCTATGCTGTTCTATCTGCTTCTACCCCGCTTGATCTGCGTTTACTATGCCTTGTCTATGACATCACTGTCTATGATCTGTATGCTTCCATTCAGTTCTATCACTTCTATTTGAGGTATTTCCTTTGGTCCGAAGCATGTGATACCGAGGTATATTTGTCTATAAATACGCGATGGATTACTAGGTAGAAGAATCAGACTTTTCACTCTCTTTGGAAACTGCCTAAGTTCCTTTCTTGCTTGTCTTGCATACAAAAGGGTAAAAGCAACCCTTAGTCAGTGTGATCATTCCTCTACGAGTTAAAGCGTGAATTGTTCTCGTTTAGGCTACATCAGTGTGTAGTCTATCCTAAGAGTCTTCCTTTGTCCAACTTGGACCGACCAGTTGGATAAAGCGATATAAGACACTAAGGGGGTACGCAAAGCCTAGTTGGCGCCACGAACGGCCTCGTGGTATTACCGCCCTTATTGTCCAACATATAGTTATATAGATATTACTAAGGCCTCCTCTATAGTATTATCTTTAGTATATATGTAAAATAATAGGGAGATACCTATTATTATGTTAAAAGTATTATTATATATAAATTTAGCAATATATAAATTTAGACTCTATAATATCTTTAAATCCTTAAAGGTAGCTAAAATCTAGTAGAGATAAGACTAATATATAGTATAAGTAACTGTCGGCTGAAGAGGGAGGCGGATACCACGATAGCTTTATCGTGGCGCTAGGTAGGCTTTACGGCTTGCTTCCCTACGTCGGACCGTTGGACTATCCAACCAAGGAAGGGCTTGATTGGATAAAGGTGAAAAGAAAAGATAAGATAGAGTGCAAAAGGCTTATGCACTCTAAATAAGCATAATTCATAATCCTCAAACAAAGGACTAGAAGTTTCCTAAGAAGGTAGAAAGGATAGTAGAATATTTGAAGAGAGTGAAAGGTCTGTTGTTTCTACTTGGTGTCTCGCGCGTATTTATAGACAAAAAGTGCTTAAGTTACATGCTTTAGATCAATTAAATAGAACAGAATCAGGGAAGGAAATGTTGAACTGGCGGTGTGATAAAGGATATTTCATCGATCTGGTGGGGTAAAGAGGGGTAAGTGGTTTAGAGGCGTGAATCATGGTTGTATCTCTTTCTTTCCTTTTTATGTTGAATCAGAGGATAGATTCACCTATGTAGCATTGGTCTATATTCTAACAATTCTTTAATCAAAGGCATGATCTAGGTTTCCTATAAATAAACTAACAAATTTTTTAAATTCGAATTGTTCTTTCAACTTTTATAGAATGGTCTAGGCTTTTATAAGACCAATATGATTGAGATACGAGGGATAGATATGGTGCCGTAGGTGTTTGGCGAATTGTTTGTCCCTTGATGAGTGAAGAGGACATGCTGTTCACAAATGAGCAATCAAATCCTAACCGTATGTAGGTGAAAGGGGTGATATAGAAAAGTTATTGTTCTTGAACTGGAATGAAAATTACAGAGAGACTTGCATCGACACCAAATATCCTACAAAAATAAAATATTTTGCTCAAGGGGGGATTTCCAGCTTAATGCTGTACACTTTTGATATGGCAGTGACACTTCATGTAATCATTAATAGCTTACGGCTCCGTCTCCGCCCTCGTCTCTTGGGTTACTTGAATCTTTCGCTCTGTAACTAACGGACTTCCAGCGATCTTGGAAAATTGGTGAGCATCCAGACATGCCTGACGTGATTTTAGCACACTGGGCTCAACGCGTGCAAAGATGTCCTTTTCAAAGGCAGCTAGCGAGGTAGATAGCGCCTCGAATTCAAACGATCTACTGTTGTTAATATCAGTTCGGAGTCGAAGAGTAGACGTACATACTTCGAGTTCCGCATGTCCACTCTCTTAACCAAGTCGAGAACGTCGTAAATCGCGTTATTAGCGCCCTCGCCGCGGACTAAAATCCTGTTAGACGCCTGATTGATCGAGATAAAATTTCACTTACACATTGTCATTGTATGTGCTGCATCCCCGAGGGTGACTGCTCTAGCGTGTACGTTTGTACGGCCGGGTTGGAAGAGCCAATCCTCCACGCGAATAGAGCGCGCTTCGATGTCTTCTGGCAAATTTTGAACGAGCGAGCGGAAAGGCTCGGCCCAGTTATCGGTCAGCTTTTTCATAAGAGCGACACGGTCGGAATTATCGCTCGGCAGGGTGATATCTTTGGAGTCAGCCCAGGAGACAATAATCTGACAGTGATACTGGTCTCGAGAGCTTTCCTCATAGTTGCTTGGAGTGTCGAGGACTATGAAATTAGCAACCGAACACAAAACGGGCAGCGGAAGAGACCAACAGCTGAAGAACATAAATATATCAGTTTCAGGATGGGAACCTTGAAAGATGTAGGGATCAATAGACTGTGCTCCACCCATCTCCTCTGGTTTGTACAACGGTGAAGCTCCAAGAAGCTGGACTGGCAATGCGTTCATCTGACAGTCGTTTGGATACAAGATCTGTCGAGCGCGTGACCGAGCTCCGTCACAGGCGACGAGCAAGCGACCTGTATACGAAGTGCCATCGTCGAAGTAGGCGGTAATTGATTCAACCGATGATTCGATATTCAGGAGTGTTTTATCCCACTGTGACGAGGTTAGCAGGAGCCTTGTAGTCGAACTTTGAACCTCCAGGTATCGACCGACATGAACATTAATTCCACTGGTCAACAGCTCACGCAATCTCCCCCGATTGACTCGAATGCGCTCTTGAGCCGGAATACTGTACAGTGCTTCGCCAGACTTCAGATTGAAAAATTGGAAACTGCCGACATCGCCACGCGACGAGGCATCCTTGTTCACGAAGGTGCCAGGAAATTTATCCACAAGATGCGTCGGAAGCAAGTCGCGCAAGATAGGTAGAGCCCAGTGCAGCGTCAAACCCCACCCACCGTTGCGTGCATCGAGAGCGGAGTCGCGGTCGAAGATCTCAAATCGCACGCCCAGACGTTGGAGATGCTGGGCCAACACCAGGCCACTGATGCCAGCACCGATGATCAGAACCTGGGGGTCAGAATTGTCCATTGTGTATAGAGCTGAGAGTGGGAATTCGGTTCTCCTGCTCGGGGCTCGACTACGAGGGCTTTTCCTGTTCTTTTTTCAATTTTCCATTTCGACCCCTGTGGCCCCCCTGGTATGACAAGGATCACGGGAAGGATGCACTGCAGCTCATTTACCCTTTCCAGTGGAGAGTGGCTTGGAGGAATCAGACGCCAGCGCTTCAATCCCACCCAATTCGATCTCAGATTGATGCTTGCGCGCCCTAAAGCGACATCCCTACGCGGAGGATCGGGACATCGGTGTACTATTGGATGCGGTGCCAAGGAGGTTACGGACTACCGAGTTCATTCGAGCTCCGGGGCCCCGATATGCTTTGAGCTTATGAGAGAAACCTTTCAGAGAGAACTTAGCGCCCGAAGCCGCTAAGATCAACGGGAGGCTTCCACGGTGTAGCCCTAATAACTCCGACCCTTGTTCAAGCGGGATCTCCCGTGCTCCACAGAGATGGGCGTGGAGGATACCAATTGAGATCGGATCAAATCCACTGATGGACCGGGGGGGCCAAGCTTCACTTGAATAACTAATCATTACATAAAAATTAATTTAAGAGACCGGGGGCTCGGTCCCTCGCGCCAAGGGATGGCAGCATCAGAATATGCTCCCAAGATCGGCATCCGACATCACCTAGTCGACCCACGCCTACTCGGCCCTTCTAATGAAACACGGTACTCCACAGTCATCTCAATCCTCCCCTGGGATGGCTCCCGAGTCGCCAGAATTAGTTCCTCGCTCGGTGACCGTTTCAGGGGTTGGGGGCCAGATGCATTCGATTGCAGATGAGATCGCTCCTTGGACCAGTTTTCCATCACGTAGCTTCGGCCCCGGCTATCATAGTATTTTCGGCCACTAGTCGATCCAAAGTCACGCACATAACCCTTCAAGAGAGGAGCGAGATATGGAACGCAGGTGACGATGTTCTGCGCGAGTTAGACTTTGTGACAGGTCGGAATCAAGTCACTTACTCCGACATTAAATTCAATAGTGCCCCAGAGCACTAGCATCGTGGAGTTTCCGTCTCCAAAGGCCACACGGTGAATTTGAGACAATCGCAAGATCGAGCAGATGGTCGTGAACAGTCCCAGGAGGAAAAGACACACGACGCCCGCTTTCTGTGCGGGCTTAATATTCAATTGTAGAAGCAACGGTATCGGCAAGAAGATAATCATCACGTCGCAGATGATGGTAAATATAGCGAGGCCATAGAACGTTGCGCCGACTGGAAGACAGGTGCCCTGCAAAGTGGTATTCCATGCTCTCTGGACCTGTGCGGGATCAGTTCTGGTATCAAAATGGAGTAGGGATACCTACGGGCGAACAATCTAAAAGCAATATGAGAGTTCCCACGATGTGACCGACTGTCGAGATGGCAATGACCACCCAAATCACAATGCGGTAAATGGTCTTGGAGGTGCCGGATAGTAGACGTAGATAGCTGAGACAGAGAGAGGCCTTGAATCCAGCGATGCCAAGTTGGTAGAATGGACGGCCTGCATAGTTGAGCTGCTTCAGTGTCAGCGCACCTCAACCCAGATACCACCGTTTCCCCATGCTACTCACTCTTGTATATGTCGATAAATTCTTCTGGGGGCGAAGCTTGAGGGGCAGGCCAAGGCCGTATCTGCTTTCTGCGATCGTGAGTTGACTGCTGTACTTCACAGGGAGGTGTACGACTCACGAGAAATACACAAGGCACTATACACGATACTCAGGATCTAAAACGAGTCAGTCAAGTTGGGTCAAGAATGTCAGGAATGTCAAATCCGTACCATGCTCACCACCATCACATAGTCTGCCGCTCCTAATCGACTCGCTTTAGCGCGCAGGAATAACCGTAGACATACAGTAATGACCATCAGCCCGGTCAAGCTGAGGCATACGCCCAGAATGAGCTGATATTCAGACGCAGCCTCCACTGGGGGAGTGGCATTATACACCCAGCCCATGGTCGTGCTGTGATGAAATCAGAATATGGACGACTCGACATTCATATAAATCCACGTGGAACCCAGAGCAACAGACGATTTAATGGATGCGTGATTTATTCCCATTTTCCATTTTCCATTTTCCATTTGCAGTTACTTTGAACTTTGATTCCTTCCGCCCCCTTGCATTGACCAGTTCAGACAAGAACGGTCGTCTCCGAGAAAAAAAAACATTCCGTTGCTACTCCGAGTGGCGCATGTACCGCCAGGGGTCCCCTGTTAGGCCTCTTTAGTCTTTCAGTAGCTCGAAACACGCTGGCTCCGGTCACGGCTAACCGTCGGTGTAATTTCTCGTAAGTTTCCGATGTCGTATAACTGATTTGTCCAAGCCAACGTGGAACTGGAATTCGTGTTAAATGCCTTGTACTCCACTCCGGATCCGCCCCTGTGCGCGTCTTCTTTTTTTCTCCTTGTCTTTTCTCTTCTGTCCAACCCTTATTTCTTCTCTTCTTGAGACTGAGTAAATGAGAATGGGTGAGAAGTCCCAGGTGGTAGCACGTGATGACGCGGTTGTATATCTTGAGGGCCATCAGGATGAGATTGCCAATGTCGATCTCAAAGCACTGCGTCGCAAGATTGATCGACGCCTCTTGCCACTCACGGCGTGCATATATGCCCTCCAATTCCTGGATAAAGTAGCTCTGAATGTGAGTGTCTAACCCAAAGACTGAAAAATATCACCTGACACGATGCCGCATTGGACAGTATGCAGCCGTGATGGGAATTAAAACGGACCTAAAACTCACCGGCAACGAGTTTTCCAACACGGCCACCTGGTTCTTTATCGCCTACCTAGTTGCTGAAGTCCCCAATGGTAGCCCTTGCTTCTGTTCTCCGTGTCCAACCCTAGCTAATCGTGTCTATAGTCTACTGTCTACAGAAATTTCCTGCTGCCAAGTGGCTAGGAACTAATGTGTTTCTATGGGGAGTCGCCGCCGCTGCCTCGGCCGGTGCTCACAACTATCGTACTTTGTTGGTTGCACGAGTGTTTCTCGGCATTTTTGAGGCAACTGTGGGCCCATCATTGATGCTCATCAGCAGCCAGTACTACACGCGGAGTGAACAGGCACCGCGTTTTACCTTCTGGTATATGGGACTGGGCATCGCCCAGATTCTCGGCGGAATCATCTCGTTCGCTTTCCAGCATGTTCGCCATGCATCCCTGGAAGGTTGGCGTATTATGTTTCTGGTGCTCGGCTTCGTCACTGCGATTGTTGGCATGCTGACCTTTTTCTTCATTCCGGACACTCCCATAAAGGCCAAATGGCTATCCGAGAGCGAAAAAGTGGCTCTCCTGCAACATGTCAGTGAGAACCAGACGGGTCTCTGGAGTACAACCTTGAATATGAAGCAGATATGGGAGTCGCTATTTGACATTCAACTGTGGCTGCTGACTCTGACGACAATTCTCGTAAGTCTTCCAGGATATATCATCCCGCAATGGCACAGGCTCACTTGCTTAGATCTCTGTATCGAGCGGCGTTGTGACTACCTATTCCTCGACTTTGATTGCCAGCTTTGACTTCTCCGGTCCCATATCGGCCCTTCTCAATACCCCGTCGGGTGTAGTAAGTATCTTCTTTACTCTGTTAGTCGGATACGGTATCCGGCGAACATCTAACCGCTGGGCCTGGAATGTTGTATGCACTATCCCAGGCATCATCGGTGGAGGCCTACTATCCTTCCTCCCGAAAAGCAACACCGCCGGCGTCCTCATCGGTATCTATCTCGTCAACGCGATTGTGGCAACCCTACCTATTCTTTATCAGTGGACCATGGCAAACTGCGCAGGCCATACTAAGCGTGCCTTTGCTAGCGCTCTTGTTGCTGGGTCCTTTTCTGTTGGTAACATCATCGGCCCACAGACCTTCCAAGCCAGAGATGCACCTGAGTATCGACCTGCCAAAATTGCAGTCCTTGCCACACAGGCTGCTGCGGCTCTTCTATCGGTGGTTCTGTTTGTCTACTATACATGGGAGAACCGGCGCCGTGACCGTGCCCATGGATGTGTCAATGAGAGCATGATCGATGAGAAAAAATGGGCAGGGCTGACCGATCGAGAGAACCCTTACTTCCGGTATGCCTACTAAGCCTACACATTGCAAGGGACATAATGTAGAGCACGCTGTGGTTTATGAGACTGACTGTCTTGATGGGATTCATTGTTGATATACTACGCTTTATCTATTATAAGGCATTTAGTCTAGGCACCTTGCAAACAACGTGTCAGTGTAAAAAAGATTATACTCTGCTGTGCAGCACTGTTAAGTATGCCCGAATAAGAACATCACGGGTTATCTTGAGATGTCCGAATATACAATTGCTGAGGCATAGTAAAGACAATGAATAAAAACATTGGACTCGTTTTCCAAGTACATTTGACGAGTCATGAACTCAGTAAGTAATCTCAGGAGCTAAGGTCTTGGGACCCGGCCATGGGTATCAGTGCGAGTTGAGATTACTCATAGAGCAGAGCGGCCATTGCGATACCAGGAGGAGCGTGATGGTCTTTAATCAACATGTCGTGATAGACTGTCTTGTCTAATCGGCCCATTCTTAAGCCCCGTACTTCTATTCCATCTTCTTATTTTCTTCATATAGCCAATAGCCCAAATGTCTCCCAGTGAGAGCGTGGTGAGGGCCCTATCTACTTACGCGCATGTTAAATGAACGTCTTATATTCAGCACCTCCCTGACTACATTTCGCCTGTTCTGCCTGCTCGAATTGTAATCTAGTTACAATACATTGCTGATAAGACTATATACTGCAATTAGGCATGGGGTGTGACAAAATCATGGCCAGATAAATACAACCGAATTTGTAGAGGTACTGATTGTTAGGCAATCAAAACCAAAGGCGATTCGATCAGGGTCTGTAGTATTGCGGGGTTTGATTCGCTTGCCTTACTGTAGTTGAGGCTGCACAAGGCTGATCTTGCAACCCTCCTATCACAAGTTTCGGACCCCCCCCCACTTCTTGTGTGTAGAGGGGAGATCAAATTGGTAGAGTGACATATGCAAAGAATATATCAGGTCAGAGAAGCCTGTCAATCATAGAGCGGAACATGATGGCGCTGGAGCAAAGAGAGAGAGGAGCCCGGATCCGGTGTATATGCATATTACTTTTGTACATGGTGCCAGGTAGAGTATTAAATGATCCGAGATGAATTATGAAAAAATCGGATCAAAAAGACTAGACAAGTAAGTGCAAATGGCGGTAGACCCAAGGGCCCAATTACGAGACGCGGCAATCGTCTGACCCTCGGCTGACAGATCAAATCTCCGGAGATTGTCACAGTCCGCTCCTTCACCTCTGGTCGCCACTTACTCTCTTCGTTTTTACCCCCTCCCCCTTTCCTCTCCCTGGCCATTGCATTCCACACCTCAAAATGTCTTTTTCGAATCTTGTCTCCGATATCGCCTTTCGAGACTCCAATGCGGATGATCGCTCCCAGATCTCCCACGCCCAATCCCGTACAGCTCGATCATACACGAGTACGACAGCCACCAGCGTCAGCATCTCAGGGGACATTTCTAGCCAACTTCATGCTGGCTATAGCCACCCGTTGACCCGGTCATGGCAGGCAGAGAGGCAACTGACCAAGGTTCGTATGCTCCGATCAATGACCCTAGTCCGCCTGCTCAACTAGCCAAGGACATGCTCATCTACCCGCTCTTCATTACCGACAATCCTGATGAAGAGACTGCTATCCCCTCATTGCCCAACCAATACCGTCGGGGTATCAACCGTCTCGTCCCGTTCCTGACCCCACTCGTTCGGAAAGGATTGCGATCGGTGATGTTGTTCGGTGTGCCGCTCCAACCATCGGCCAAGGATGCGCTCGGAACCGCTGCCGATGACCCGTCCGGCCCGGTTATTCAAGCAATTCGCCTTCTCCGTACTCGACTCCCCCAACTCTATATCACGACGGACGTTTGTCTTTGCGAATACACATCACACGGTCATTGCGGTATTCTTACCGAAGATGGAACACTGGACAATGCACAATCCGTTGATCGTATTTCGGATGTGGCCCTGGCCTATGCTGTTGCTGGCGCTCACTGCGTTGCTCCATCAGACATGAACGACGGAAGAGTGCGGGCCATTAAGCTTAAATTGATCGAGGCCGGCCTGGCACACCGCGTGCTTCTCATGTCGTACAGCGCCAAGTTTAGCGGGTGCCTGTATGGACCATTTCGCGATGCCGCCGGGTCGTGCCCCTCCTTTGGAGATCGTCGCTGCTACCAGCTGCCGCCCGGCGGTCGTGGCCTTGCTCGACGCGCGATCAAGCGTGACATAAATGAGGGTGCTGATATTATCATGGTCAAGCCTGCGAGCAGTTATTTGGATATTATTCGGGATGCCAAGGATTTGGCTCAGGATCTTCCCGTGGCTGCGTATCAGGTCAGCGGTGAATTTGCTATGATCCATGCGGCCGCGAAGGCGGGCGTCTTTGACCTGAAAGCCATGGCCTTTGAAAGCACCGAGGGTATCCTCCGAGCAGGAGCTGGAATTGTAATCAGTTACTTTGTTCCGGAATTCCTGGAATGGTTGAGGTGAAAGCCCTTCGGTCTTCGATCCTGGGATGTGGAGACTCTTGACGATGCCTTCGGAGAAAGCCCAATCCTTGATGTGCCTTCCCATAACAAATCCACATATACCCCAAACACGAGACGTCTTTAATATGCCCGACTGCAGAGCAGTACAAAACGCAGATACCCCAAATTATCAGATCAATGTTATCTTTCAATCATTTGAACATTATGTACTACACAAAATAAGCTAAAAGAAATACGCCCATATATCGCCTAGCAGTGCGAAGGAAATAACACATATCGAACAAGCAAAATAAAAACCCTTAGAGATGGAACTCCTTCCCTCAAAACGCCCTGAGAACGTATAGAAAGGCGACCAGCATAAAGATGCGTGAGAAACAGATGGAAAGCGTACACGAAAATACGATCATGGGGAATAGTATATCATTATCGGCCAACTCCGGTTCTGATACCGGAAGCGAAAGATATGGCAGCTGGCAGAGGGTTCACTGGATCGCTTTTAGTAGCCGGGCCGGTTTCTGGTGAGCTGATAAGGCGCCACGTCGCGTTTCACCATGTCACCAGCTTCGATGACGGCACCGCGTCCAATACGCACACCCGGAAAGATCGTTGACCCCGCGCCGATATAGCAGTCCTGCTCGATGATGATCGGCTTTGCTTGATAAAGGGTTTGTGGGCCCCGACGATGCTGCAGATTATCAGAAGCACATGCAGTGAGCAGGGTCACGTTGGGACCGATCCAGGTATTGGAGCCGATTTGGATGGCAGCGTCGTCGACAAATAAGCAGTTTTCCGACACCATGACATCCGCCTCAAGATTGATGTTCCACCCGTAGTGGCATCTAAAGGGGGACTCAACCAGTGTTCCTTGCCCGATAGAGCCGACGAGACGAGGTGTAGAAGGGCCAGTTGGAGAGCTGACCGAATTCGATGGCGGAACGAGGACTTCTTTAAGCAGGCGATTCTGTTCCTTTGAGCTGAGCCCATAGATTGGATTGCATGCATTATTGAACCGCGACAAAGCACACTTGCATCGATCCCTATCCTCCACCAGCTGGATATCGAATGGTCGGTAATATTCTCCTCGGGTCATTTTTCCCTTCTCGGTATCATCCGCAGGGGCGGCGGCGCGGTTGGAAAGGGGGTTCTCTATCCCCAAGGCCATCCTCGCCTGTGCCTGTGGACTATTCGTATCCATTGTCACCGAGGGAAGTGGTCGATGTTCCCCCGCCTGAAACATTGGCATGCTAGGTCTTGCATGAGATCCATGGGAGAGTTCCCGAATGGGCGGCACAACCTGATAGTCTGGTTTGGACGGTCCATCCCGGGGGAGCTCATGGATCGGAGGGATTTCTCGGTAATCGGGTTTCGCAACTGATTCTGCCAAATACGGGTGATGACCGGGTCCTGGCCCAGGCCATGCGCGCTTCGTCCACGACGTATGGCTGGGTGCTGTGCCCGTGGGGCTGGTGTTATACTGCTGGCTCGGTCGCTCAATATCATCTAATATGATCGGTTTCATCTTCCGCGACTCGGCAAGGTCTATCACGGCAGGCGGTCGGTCATGCGATGGCGCTGCTTCTGGTAAGTATTGACTCCCGATCTCGGGATATCCCTCTTTTGACTGCAAGGGAACGGGTGCCTTGGAGCTGGAAGGTTTCTGCCACGGGGTTCGCGTAGAGTATCCTTCGCAGAGAAACCCCCCACGAGTGCAGTTGTTACCTGAAGGAAACTGATTAGCTTCCTGCCCTTTGACCAGTATGGAGATTGGAGAACCCGAACATTGATCCCGAGAGGGGAGAGACTTACAGGCAGGATGCTGCTCGTCGCATTTCTTCTTCCGGCGGCGACAAGTCATGCAGCCCGTCTTGGTTCTGTTGCTGAAGACGCGCTTCCTCTTCGGCGCTACCTGAATTGCCGACCGCTCCGGAAATGCGGAGGATGGTGCAGGCTGAACATTGGCAGATGTCGTAGGACGACCCAGAGATCGTGGGTCCTGACCTTGCGCTTCTCGCTGTAGCACATCCGCCAACTGTGCATCCGAGGCATCAATCTGCTGTGCCCGTTGAGCCTGGTTGATGAGGCGCGACTCGTAATCGGACCAGGGTCCACTCGACGGAGGTTGAGATGGCTCGTTCGTATCGGATCGACCGGAGGCGATCGCTGCGCTGCTCGCCTCGATCTCTGAGGCCGATGACGAACGGGCGGGCGGAGCCTCTCCGGGACGTGGTATAGAACCTCGTCCGTAGCCGTCTGCATCCTGGGAATCTTGGGAATCGGGATCACCGGAGCCCGAGCGCTTGCGCTTGTGAGCGTGAGCGTGAGCGATTGGTGATGACCTTTGTGAGTGACTGGGATTCTCCCGGGGCGATGCGTCCTGGTTCTCATTCGCAACGGACGGAGCGTCTCGGTCCTCGCCATCCATCTGTGTACCGAGGGTGGGATTTGCCCCCGCAGCCGAGGCCGTCGAATCTCTGCCATTCACCGCCGTAAATCGAGATGGGCTGTGTTCCGTGCCCGTCTCGGTGCCGGAATCACGATTGCTCATGACTGGTGCACTTGCGACAGCTGTCATGATTCAGAGATTCAGAGCTCCAGAGCGAAACAGAACCGTAGCCGCGAAATGAAAAACGAAAAGACAATAAACCCACACGCCGAGAAGGATGCCGGCGAATATCTCAGCAGCTTACACCAATTCGGGAAGCGCACGCGGCAACTCCAAGATATACAGGGAGCTGCGCATACGGCGGAGTCACGGACTCTCAATTGACACACGTATCTTGTTTCCCTGAATGACTTGAAGCGACCGAGAACGAAAGTGCCGGGCAAGGCAGGTTAAGGATCGCGGCAACCTCGTCTGGGGTGGGGCGTCGGGGTAGACGGGCACGGGATGGTTTCAGCGCCTCAATGATCAACACTACCCGGGTAACAAGATAATCCAAACTAGGGGGAGGGGTAGAAAATGTATAAAAAGAAAGAAAGCTGGGTGAATAAGATGATTGAGGTAGGGTTATGTTATTTTACTAATGTAGAAAGGGAAAAGAAAGAAGAGAAAGAAAGGGAAGGGAAAGGGGAGGGGGAGGGGGGGAAAGACAAGGAAAAGGAAACCGGGGGGGAGGCAGAGGAAGAGGGGAATAGCAAGAATAGAATATAGGGCAAAATAAGTCCCAAGCCAGTTCCCATGGCCCCCATCCCCCTCCCCCCCCGGCTAGCACACTTAGCACCTTTTGACGGGACAATAGGGAAAGGGGAGAGGAGTTGGCGCGCGATCGGCAAGGACGGCGTCACGATGGCCGCCAATCGGAAGAGCAAAGCGCGGGATCCAGGTGAGGCGTGCGCGGGTCTGAGACACAGGTCATTTCCCAGGCGACCGGAGCGACGATGGCGCGCGTTCCCAGGCGCCCCGTGTGTTGGTGGGTCGCGTCGTGAATGCCAGCCTGTCGTAGGCGTTCGCCAATTGGCGCCGGGCGGGTTGGGCGGTTATGCATCGCTTCCTTTCCTTCCCGCGCGCTCTGGCTCTGGCTCTGGCTTTGGCTCTGGCTCTGCGCTGTGACCCAGCGCCTTCGTCTGGGCCTTCAAAAGGTGATAGGGCTATGACCCACCCTCGTCACATATCTATTCCCCTGTCTTAGTGTAGAAAATATAAGAAAATACATACACGATCGTACAGATATACATACAATATAGTCTATGATTATGCAATCCGGCCATCTCTGGATGCTCTCTGGCTGCTTCCTGACTGCTCTGCTTTCCTATGATGTAGTTGTTGACAAGCGCGGCTGACTAAGACCCCCCGTGGCCATCCCAAGCTCAACCACACGCGCTCCTCTCACCGCCAGTGTGGAATCAACTCTCCAAAACTTTTCGTTTTTCAAACCCACTCAAATCCCCCTGCAGGTCATTTCCCTCCTCGAGATCCTGGTGGACTCCCGGTTACCTGAGTGATCAGACATCCCACGGTCTGAGGTGCTTACCCAACCCCTCAGGATCTCTTTGCTACCCCACCAGAACCTCACCTTCTCAAACCCCTCCCTCCAACTTTACCCCCCCTCCCCCAAAGCTTAAGTGACGTTGGCATCCCTGCCAATTTCTCGCTCACTTTCCCGTTCGTCCTCATATCCTCGGACTTTTGTGTCGTGACGCTCTTTTCGTGATCCCCCGGCGAGATCGCCAATCTCTGCGGCGGCATGTCTGTTTCGGTCCAAGAGCTGGACGCCACAGTCCAGGCTTTCTTTGAAGGCAAAGGCGACGTGGTATGTGCCCTCTTCTGCCTCGAATCTCTGACCCGGGACCGACGACTTGATGGACTGACTCGCTAACAACGCGCCAGCAAAAACAAGCCCAACAGACCCTAACAGAAGTAAGCTCGCCGTTTTCGCGCGACGCGATCCCTGCTCACATTCTTGTTCCTCTAGTTCAAGCAAAACCCCGATGCCTGGGTCACTGTGGGCAACATCCTCCAGGAGGCCTCGTATCCTCAAACGAAATGTGGGTTTGAGAATCCCCTCCCTCCTTTTGCGCTTCTCCCCTCCCTCGAAAGATGATCGATTGACCGCGTATACAGACATTGCCCTCCAGGTCCTCGACGATGTGATTATGACTAGATGGAAGGTTCTACCCAGAGATCAATGCCAGGGTAATTAATCATTCCCCCGTTAGGAACGTGCTGAGGAGCACGCGCTAATGCTGGGCGATTTTCCTGACAGGTATCCGAAACTTCATCGTCAATTTTATTATCGAGAACTCCGGCTCCGAAGAGAAGCTCCGCACCGAGCGCGCATTCTTGAACAAACTGAACTTGGTCTTGGTCTCGATCCTGAAGCAGGAATGGCCACACAACTGGCCCACCTTTATCAACGAGATTATCTCCTCCTGCCATGCCAGCCTCTCGATCTGTGAAAACAATATGGCCATTCTGCGCCTGCTGTCCGAGGAAGTCTTTGATTTCTCTCAGGACCAGATGACCTCGGTTAAAGCGCGGAACCTCAAGACTTCCATGACCCAGGAATTCTCCGCCATCTTCTCACTCTGCTCCGAGGTCCTCAACACCGCCAACCAGCCGACTTTGGTGAAGGCGACTCTCGAAACGCTCCTTCGCTTCTTGAACTGGATCCCGCTGGGCTACATCTTCGAGACCCCCATCATCAACACGCTCCTGACCCGTTTCCTGGACGTGCCCGACTTCCGGAATGTCACGCTCAAGTGCCTCACGGAGATTGGTGGCCTGCAGATTGGTTCCCCGTACAACTACGATGAGAGACTGGTGCACATGTTCACCGAGACTCTGACAAAGGTCTCAAATGTCATCCCCCTGTCCATGGACTTGAAGGAGACGTTTGCGCGGAGCAACGGAAGAGATCAGGAGTTTGTCTCCAACTTGGCCCTCTTCTTGTCGAGCTTCTTCAGCGCCCACTTGGATGTACGTGAATTAATGGTCCTACCACCTCAAAGAATAGACGCGAGCGCTCAACTTTCCCCGACTGGGACTAACTGTTTTCTTTTTCTAGCTCATTGAAAAGTTGCCGAACCAAGACTACCTCACGCATGCCCATTTCTACCTGATCCGCATCAGCCAAATCGAAGACCGGGAAGTGTTTAAGATTTGTTTGGATTACTGGACTCGGTTGGTGCAGGAGCTTTACGAAGAGATGCAACAACTCCCCATCACCGACATCAACCCGCTCGTGACCATGGGTGTCAGTGGGCTGTCCAACGGTGGCGCACCTCACCCCAGTACCCTCGCCAATTACCCCCTTCGCAAGCACAAATACGAGACCGTGCTTTCGAACCTGCGTACCGTCATGATCGAGAAGATGGTCCGTCCGGAGGAAGTTCTGATCGTTGAGAACGACGAGGGCGAGATTGTGCGTGAATTTGTCAAGGAGAGTGATACGATCCAGCTCTACAAGACGATCCGCGAGTGCTTGGTCTACCTCACACATCTGGACGTCGTGGACACCGAGACCATCATGATTGACAAGCTGGCGAAGCAAGTCGATGGTACTGAATGGTCATGGGTGAATTGCAACACCCTGTGCTGGGCAATTGGTTCCATTTCCGGCGCCATGAATGAAGAAACCGAAAAACGCTTTCTGGTTACGGTGATCAAGGACCTTCTCGGCCTGACGGAGCAGAAGCGTGGAAAGGACAACAAGGCCGTCGTGGCCAGTAATATCATGTACATCGTGGGCCAATACCCTCGATTCTTGAAGGCCCACTGGAAATTCTTGAAGACCGTGGTTAACAAGCTTTTCGAGTTCATGCATGAAACCCACGAAGGTAATTTTTTTACGCAACAAACAGCCCCAATTGACTTTTGACTGATCCACTCCCTAGGTGTCCAAGACATGGCCTGCGATACCTTCATCAAGATCGCCAACAAGTGCCGACGACACTTCGTGGCTCTTCAACCGGGCGAAAATGAACCTTTTATTGAGGAAATTGTGCGCAATATGCGGAAGATCACTATGGATTTGTCGCCACAGCAGATTCACACGTTCTATGAAGCCTGCGGCTACATGATCTCTGCTCAGGGTCAAAAGACACTTCAGGATCGGTTGATCGACAACCTTATGGCTTTGCCCAACTCGGCTTGGGATCAGATCATTGCCGAAGCCAACCAAAATGCCGCGATTCTCCAGGATGGTAACACAATCAAGATCATTGGTAACATTATGAAGACAAACGTCGCAGCGTGTTCTTCCATTGGAACCTACTTCTACTCCCAGATTGGCCGCATTTACCACGACATGCTGAACATGTATCGTGCTTCTAGTCAGCTCATTAACGATGCAGTCGCCAGTGATGGTAAGCCCACTGATCCATTCTTAACAACCATTTTGTGTTAGATCAGTGTTGACATAACACAGGAAGCGTTGCGCCCAAGACGCCGAAAGTCCGAGGACTTCGCACCATTAAGAAGGAGATCCTCAAGCTCATTGATACCTATGTGGAGAAGTCAGACGATCTTGAAATGGTCAATGCCAACATGGTTCCACCGCTTCTCGAGGCCGTTCTCATTGACTACCACCGCAATGTGCCAGATGCGCGTGAAGCGGAAGTCTTGAATGTCATGACGACAATTATTCACAAGCTTCATGTTTGTGGCCCCTCCCGATTTGCATTTGCCAATAGCTAACGTGATCTTCTTCCACCGCAGGCTCTGATGGAGGATAAGATCCCTGCCATCATGGACAGTGTTTTCAGCTGTACCCTGGAAATGATCAACAAGGATTTCCATGAGTATCCCGAACATCGCGTTCAGTTCTTCAAGCTCCTCCAGGCCATCAACTTGTATTGCTTCCAAGCGCTACTCAACCTTGATGGTACCCAATTCAAGTTCGTCATCGATTCTTGCATGTGGGCATCGAAGCATGATAATCGTGAGGTGGAGAACACAGGTCTTACCATGTGCCTGGAACTGATGAACAACATGGCCGAGACGGATGTGAACACATCGAGTATCTTCTTCCGCCAATTCTACATCCCAATCCTCCAGGATGTCTTCTTTGTACTGACTGACAGTGATCACAAGGCTGGTGCGTATATTCCTGTGTCTTCGACTTCCCACCACCACATTACTCACATTTCTTTCTTCAGGCTTCAAATCCCAAGCCATGCTCCTGTCTCGCATGTTCTACTTCATTGAAGCTGGCAAGATCCAAGAGCCGATCTATACGCCGGATCAGGCTCCGGCTGGTCCATCCAACAAGGAATTTCTGCAGGAGTACATTGCAAACCTGCTGCAGAATGCATTCAAGAACCTGCAAGAGTGAGTCCTCGTTTTCACTTCTTTTCTCACAAAAAGAAGACCTAGAGTCCTTGAAATGATGCTAACTTCTATCATAGGGTGCAAATCAAGCAATTTGTGCTTGGGTTGTTTGCCTATACCGATGACTTGAACAAGTTCAAGACCCACTTGCGTGATTTCTTGATTTCCCTGAAAGAGTTCTCTGATGACAATGCAGAGCTCTATGCAGAGGAAAGAGAGCAAGCTGTGCGTGATGCCCAAGCTGCCGAGCGAACCCGAGCCATGAAGGTCGGTGGTTTGTTGAAACCATCGGAGATGGACCAGGAAGACGAGCTATGACTGGAGAAGGAATTTCGTACTGAATTCCCCCCGCCTGCATCGGCTGGCCTTTCTGGATTTGGGGGGAAGTGAAATCGACAGTAAATGACGGCCTCGATGGCTGGTCCCTCTACGAGATCTGAATTCCAGGGGCCATAGAGAGGACATCCTTTTCGAGGAGCATACAACATAGAACTCGCTGAAGCCGAGAGGCTGGCAAGTTCGCACATTTCACACCTCTCATTCTCGCTCTACACCCATCGGCTTTTCCGATGGTCCTGTTTGATATTTTTAAGATAGCTTCCAAAATTCATTCATGAGAGTACATTAAGCTCGGGTTCGGGGTGAAGCAAAAGTGCCTAGTAGTAGGGCGGTGAGGGCCACCGTCTTATCAGTTACATCATCTTGATCTTTTTTTTCTTAATTTGTCGCAGCCTTCGCACTTGTCCTCCCAGTCTCCAAGAACCGCTTTGCAAATTCACTTTATTTCTATCATCTCTCCATCTACCACTCACTTTTGCCATGTCCCGGACACGCCAGCCGGGGACGAATCCCCAGCTCCAGACCACCACGGAATCACGCGATCCATCCACCGTTCGCCTCACAGGGACCCTGCGATTGAGGGGCGACGAAACTCCGAGTACGAGCGAGCCGTCATCGGCCAGACGCATCAGATGGGGTGAAGATGTAGTGGATAATGAAGGAATGGGGAAGAAGAGCTCCAAAGGTATGTCTACCCCTCGCCACTGAAGAGCGAACTCTAACCAGGCTCAGTGTGCTGCATCTACCACAAAGCCCGCCCCGTAGGCGAGAGCAGCTCCGAATCCGATTCCTCTGACTCCAACTCGTCGGATTCCGAAAGCGAGAACGAAATTGATCGCCGCAGACTCCGAGCAAACGCCCATCACTCGCACCGTCGGGGCCGGAGACCGGCTGAGGGAGAATCGTCAGAACAGTTGCCAGAGCAAGATCAAGAGGCTTGCTGCGAGCACCAACCTACGAAACACAAAAGGCGGAAGCCAAGTCCAAATGCCTACGAGAAGATGCCCAAGCCTTCCAAGAATACCTCTCGAGGCACGTAGTCTGTGCAGTCACTAGCCTCTCGATCTCCATCTTAAAGATTTGTTCAACATCAGATCATTCCAAGGTCAAGCAACGACTAATCTACGATTCAATGAAATACGACACGCCTCCCCTTGAGAGGATTTTAATCATCTTCGGTCTATGCGTTCGAGACCGCTGGAATCAAATAAAAACACCGTTGATTTGCAGACTAGAAACGCAAGAAGAGGGTATCTGTATCATAGCTGCAGCAAAGGGCAGTTTAAAATGTAAATACACGATTAAAGTTTAGAATTTCGGGCAAAGACCCTCACACCATCATACTCTTTCTCCTTGCCGCAATGCGAGTTTCTCGCCGATGCCCTACATCCATTGCAGAGTTCCACCCGGGAGTTTCTTCACCTTCCGCGCCTTCCATCTGCGTGAAAGTGGTCGGCGATTCTCCGAAGTCCACGTCATGCGATGATACGTGTCGAGCGGTGCTCTTCGGATTCGACGAATGCCGCCGCGATTGTCTCCGATGAGAAACCGTATCGATTAATTGCTCCGGTGCAATGTCCTTCATGAACACGTCGGTTGCCTGGTCTGCGAGAGCCAAATCTGCAGGAAGACTGCCATTCAATAAAGAACCAGAACCAGCCCCGCTCTTTCTTGAATGGTCGTCTGCGTTGTCCAAACTCTCACGAAATTGGAGACTGGACGATCTGCGAGACCCGCCGGCTATGACTGCGTCTGCCATTTCACTCGTCGGGCGGCGCATCTTGTCTCGGAGGTTGGGCTCCGCATAGCTAACCACAGCGCCACGACGGCGGGAGGGCCGAGATGCAGCCAAATCAGACACTCCCATAAGCCCCTCTCCAGATCTGGCCACAGGTGAGTCTTTGAGCATGATGGGGACGGGCTGGCTATATGCTTCGTCATATTCCGTAGATCGGCTGGAGCGTTTCTGCTTCTGTAGCATTGGAGTTGATCGAACGCGTGGTTTCTGACTGAGGGATTTGTTTTTGCTGCTCTCGAGCTCCTTAGGCTTCACGGGAGACTTGATATTTTCGTCCCTTCCCATTTTCGCCGCCATCTTGTTCTCGGGTTGTAAAGATGCTCGAGCCTTTTGAGGGGATCCGAGGTTGGCATTTGCGCTCTCTGTTTAACTTTATCAGCCAAATTGTACATAGAATCAATGGGATGGGGAATTAATTGCATACTCGGCTCAAGAACCTTTCGTTTGCTGGCCCCGGAGCTCGACGATCCTCGCTTCATGTTCACCGGTGTTTTGCTAGGCGAGAAATCCGGACGCATGAAATCGAATGGGTCTGTTTGCTTCAAAGGGCTATGACTCGGACGACGAAATTGGAACTCATCATCTTCCGGCGCTGTATCGGACAAGAATCCATCGTCGTCAGGCCTGAATTTGCGCTTCGATCCGGATTTCCCAGGTTGTGTGTCGCCAATCTTCGGACTTGGGCTCTCTGGCGGGGCCATGCCCTCGGAAATAGGTCCCGACGAAACCGTCTTCTTTTTCTTCTTTCGTGTCTCGAGTGTAGGGGGAAGAGATGACACTAGAGCTAGGGCATCGGTCTCGGTCTCAGGCTGGCGCCTTGGTAGGGGCTTGCTGAAAAGGGGGCTGGAAATATCCGCGGTAATATCTGAATGATCGTGATCCAGATGGATCGCGTGGGGAGAATTGGGCAGGCTGTGATCAGCCTGAACGAGATTGTGGATTTCTTGAGGCCTGCAAAGATTAGCAAGGTGATATTTTGCCATATCAGTTTGAGCCTTACTCCAATGTCCGGCGCGGGAAGTATTTATCCTCCAATATGGCGGGGAGCTTGCCGTCGTCGACTCCGGTATTGAATTCTGAGTCTGTCGCTCGAGGTCTCGTGTCTAGTGCGGTCGCTTTTGAGTGATCGGAATCGCCAGCCTTGTCTCCAACCTTGCCAATTTTGCGTGGTAACATTCCTAACTCTGATGCAATTCCATTGAGCTCGGCGACTTTTGCGTCCAGGCGACTCTTTATATCGTAGACCCCATCGTGGAGCAATTTGGCTGACTCTAGTCGGTCGATTTCTTGGGTGAGGTTGATGACTTGTTCCCGTAGTGAAACATTTTCCCCTAGGAGATGCGATATTTCGGACTCTAAGCTGCGGATGCGAAGTGACTGCATAGAGTTGACCCGTGCGATCTCGCGATTTTGCCGCACGAATCGACGCTTCACTGAAACATCGCGTCAATTCGGGTCCCTGGGAGTCGGTCGGAAAAGGGGGGAAGGGGGACTTACAAGCCTCAACAGACTCCGAGGGAGCAGCAAAATCATTCAGCCGAGCCATGGTGGCAAAAGAGGCCGATTGACGGGTGGGTGCAAGAAGCGCAGTGTAAAATGAAGTATCGAAGATTGGAGGTAAACACGGCTGTTGATGTTTACCTGGATTAAGCCTAGCGCATGTTTGGATGACTCAGCTACCCCTCTAGGACTGCATGACTGAGGATCACGTTATTCGACCTTGAGCTGAGATCTGCGCGAACTACGCGAACTACGAGCTTTCTCTGGAGACGCGCCACATTATCTCATATGGCCTACTCGTCTCGACCGACCATGCTTCCCGGAGCCGGGCTTCGCCAGCCTTCTCAGCCCTCGTCGGCGTTGGCCATGCGTATCGCGGCCAAAAAGGCCGAGCTGGAGAATTTACGACAGCTGCGGGATTTGAGTGGAACGTTGGCCATGCAAATGCAAGCCCTCGAGAGTAAAATTGCTACGTTGAAAGATGGTACCGAAGGTGGTTCTCTCCCCCCTGCGACTGCACGCCTACTAATTTGTCTCCAGCTGTTGCATGCGTGCTTGCAAATTGGGACAATGTCCTCCGTGCTATCAGCCTTGCCTCCAGTAAGCTTGAGAGGATGCTTATCAGAGGGGAAATGCCATAACTGACGTTATCGCAGACAAAGCTAGTGGACTTCCAGATTTCACTGGACCCGAGACAGAAGAATCTCCGTCTCGCTTACCAGCCACTTTGGTTCGCATCCCCGCCGAGCAGCGCGACAAGACTGGCGAATGAGGCCGATAGTTTTTTTCAACCGTTGCCGTCATAGGCGACTGATTTCCACTGCGCCTCACATTCCCGGATTTCTTGTGTGACTAGCCTGAGACTCGGCTCCCCCCTCCCCCCCCCCTCTACCCTGGCAGTTCACCCAATTGCCTATTGCCATAGGCCCGGAGAAAGGACGGAGCGATCAGGATCACGATCGTGCTGGGGTCAAGCACGAGCACGATCGCATCATCCCTCCCCGCATTTCAGGGGGATTTACATTCCTCGAGCGATCATCGCGTGACCCTGTAGCGTAGTCAATGCAGCCCGAGTTTATCTGGAGGAGAGGGGGTCCGAGGGAAGAGGGGGAAGAGCCAACCAAGAGTACCAAGAGCGACCCCGAGCGACCCCGAGTGACGCAGGAGGAGGAGTTTTACCACCTTACCTTATCATAGTTTTAGGCGCTATGCCATGAACACCAAATCAAATAATTATCATGGAGGGCAGGGTTTTCCCATGATCTTCATGGCTGAAGATACACGTTTCCAACATCACTAGTCCAGTCAGACCACTCAGGCACCCATCACCCATCACCCACGGAGGGGCTCGGACCTCATGTGGGCAGATGACGGGCTCGCGAGGCACGACATGAGTGGAGATTTGGTCGATGGTTGCCCGTTCGAGGTTCCTGCAGCTGGAATCCTCGCAAGGTCCGCTTTTTCGTCTTAAGCGCCCGAGCCACGCCATAATGTCGACCCCCCGCAATCATCGTGCGCCGTGGTAGGCTGCAGGGGTTATCCGTGCCATCGTCTTGCTATATTATTTGCCTCGTACCCGGGTGTGGCATGACTGTACAGCAACACGGTGGACCCATGAGGTGATCGTGTTCAAACTACATATCTGCACCTCTTGCACCTCGTACTCCTCTTGCTCCTCTTCGATCTTCCCTAGTCGATTCATTCCTCACCCACCATGGCTACCGAATGGTCTTTGGATTTCTGTCTCGCCTGTGACCGACAGACATCCGGCGGTCCCTACTGCTCTCAATCATGTCGACTCGTCGAGCTGGATCGAACTTCTACCGAAGAGGGCTCGCTGCCTCGACAGGCTGCCAAGTCACACTCTCACTCCCACTCCCACTCTCGTTCATCCACAGCCGACTCCAACATTGATACTCGATCGGCACGAAGCCTATCGGCTTCGTCCTCCCAAACCTCTCTATCCTCCCTGAGGAGCCACGCATCAAATGCCACCATCTCTGATCACCTTCAGGATGAGCTCCGTGACTACGCGAGCTCCTTCGATCCCGTTCGAGACCTGAAGCGACGATTGACCACTTCTTAATGATGTCGGGCCCTACCTCGATCAATCTTGACATAACCTACTACTTTTCGGGCATCGATGCCCTTGCTCTCAGCGAAACATTGCATACGGAAAACATCTCGGCGTCAATTGGAAAAAAAAAAGATTAAGGAATTTGGCTTGGATTTGGAACACCTCCCGCTCTTCACGACACTATATACCCTCTTCGTTTTCTTTTATTCAAGCCTCTGTGCTATATTTGGAGTTGGGAGGATTTAATGGGCTCATGATACAGAATGTAAAGCCCGTGGGGCGATGGATCTGATGCCAGAATGTAGACTACATCGAATGAACAAGCTCCGTGGAGCAACAATTGGCCAAAACATGACATCTCTCTCGTAAACAGTGGAGAAGGTCGGGTAGATGCTCCACCTGGATCCCCGGGCTAAACTCGCCCATATGTCGTGAGCTCCCTGCCCCTCTCCCTAGTTTCATGTTGTGTTTCCCCAGTGCCGTTCAGGGTGTCGCCAAAATCTTATTCAATGCACTCGCATTCCGAGGCACGAAGCGCACCTCATACTTTTGGGGAATGGCCACCAGACTGGTTGGATCGGAGTTGCCACGAACGGGGTGCCAGTCCGTGTCATCGTGGGGTTCGATGCGGAAACTGTTGAGCGTCCGCATGAAGACCAGATAGAGTTCGCGGTTGGCCAGCAGCGACCCGGCGCACATGCGGTAGCCCATGCCATAGGTGAACAGGGGTGCGTCTGGTTGCTCAAACCACCGCTCCGGCCGAAACACATCTGGGTCGGTCCACACGTCCGGGTCTAGGAAAGGGGGTTAGTTGAGTCCGGCATGACGCTGTACGACCACTTACCCATATTGCATGCCCAGGCATTCAAGAAGAAGACGGTACCCTTGGGAATCACGGTGCCCTGGTAAGTAATGTCCCTGATTGAGGTTCGAGGGAGGGCGAGTCGAAGGACCGTAAAGTACCTAAAGAGGGTCTGATTAGCACGGCTTATTGATGATAGAGATTCTATGAAATGGGCATCGCTCTTACCGAAGACACTCCCTCACCAGCGCTGTAACGTATGCGCATTTTTGATCGTCGTCCGCGGAGCACATGGGCTCGTTCGTGCCGTACATCTCTTGAATCGCCTTGGCAGCCTTGTCCTGCACATCGGGTCGTGCAGAGAGGAGACCGATACTCCACGCGACAAGAGTCGTGACCGTGTCAAGGCCACCGGACAGCATTGTCAGGCTGATCGAGGTGAGCTCCTCGCTGTTCAGTTTGGCCTCCTTGTCCAAGATCACGTTGGCCTGAATGCAAGGCGCGTGAGTTCCTTTTTTCATTCGGTCGTCCAAGTCTCGGTTCAGAGATCCCAAATACTTGTCTCGTCGCATGCGCATCTCTGCGGCCTTCTGTGAATTGCTGCTGAACGGATTCAACCGCAAGAGAGGAATGTAATCCTGCAAATTACCTGTGGTACTGCGGAACTTGCTAATCTCCTCCTCGACGTGGGTAATCTCATCGAACATGTCCTCTTCCTGCGAAGCAATACGCACGCCCCAGTTCAGAGTCAAGGCCAGACTCAAGCTCAGGCGCTGGATCATGGGCATCGGGTCAACGGGAGTCTTGCCGCCATTACCGTATCGATTGAGCTCGTCTACAAAGGCCTTGGACTCCACATCCAGGTGAGCGACGTACGTATCGACCGACGGCCGATTGAGGGCGGAGGCAGCCCCCTTTCGGCGGCGCTTCAGTGAGTCGCTGTAGGGCGACGTTCCAATGGTCGTGCCCGATGTGTTAGAGACGATCTATGAAGGGCTGGCGTTAGTTGACAAGCGCAGGAAATACCATGAGTGACCGAACGCAGCCGAACTCACCTTATGAAAGGTATAGAACTCCGGCCGCGAGCTCAGAGCCTGGGCATTCTGACCGAAGAGGACCTTTGCCGCAGCCGCAGAGTTCACCACGACGACGGGGATGTTACCCAGCTGAATCTGATACACGGATCCGAACTTCTTTGACCATAGGCGATACTGCTCGGCTGCGTTCGTTCGGATCTGAGCCAGGTTCCCGATCAACGGCAGTCCGGTAGGGCCCTTCATACCCTTGACGCGGGCTGAAGAGCGAATAAACTCATTTAAAACAACATATAGGAAGGGTAGGATGAGAGCGGTGGCACCCAATGACTGCCAGGGAGACTGAATCACTCTGCCCTGGAGGGCCGATAGTACTGTTGCGATGGCCATGGTTGACTGAGTGATTTGTTTCCCAGAAGACCACCAGGCAAGTTATAAGAAAACCTCAGAGAAATGAGTACAGGCTGAATGGAACATTTCCGTGCTACCCAGAGCTCACAGTCAACCCGAAGATAGACTGCTACCCCACACTTTTACCCCAGGTGACTCTGCGCCGAATTCCGCGCGGAATCCACCCGCCCTGCTCTATCTCGGAAATCCAGCGCTGGGAGAATTCGTAGATTTCCTCTATAAACTAAGCGCGCCTAGGATAGGTCTACATGCCACTCACTTATTGCCCATGATTTGGGTCTAGGGCAGCTGTAAGTATATTGGGACCAATGGTTTTTCCATATTTTCATTGCGGACCCTCACACTGTTCACTTTTTCAACCCTCCAGACAGTTAGACAAGTTCCTTTGACATTTCTTCAGTCTTCATCGACTTCTTTCCATCAAATGCTTTGACCATGTTTAGACAGAATGATCATGGATATCCGCTCAGGGCTGCCGCACCAGTCCTTGGCCAGGGGATCGATATACCGGAGCCAAGCGTCGCCCTCACTTGATGCGCACGGTTATTATTTGACCCAGGTTGACCCGAGGTTTAGGGTCATTCCACGAGCGTGATCAGTCATGGTACCGCAAAGACTCGATTATAGAACACTGAATATGGTCGGGGGCTCGGGACGCATCTTGAGGCGCGGCGGACTCAGGGCCGAGTTATTTATATATACGTGACTAGTGACAATAGCCGGGCATCACTATAAGCAATCAGAAGCCTCCACTCTTGCACGGGGTCCTGGATTTGCTCCACCAGGGGATCGCCGTTTAGCGCATTCCAGGACGCAAGGAGCATAAATGCGAACCTGGCACGGGGTTGTGGATCTCATCCGGTTTTGTTCAGAATGGCAGGTTGAGATGACACACTATGAGAGTATAGTGGATCTGCGAACCTGGCAGACACCCCCTGAAAACCGGGGCCGCGATCTTGAGTGGAGCAAGTCAGCTGGCCATGCAGAGATTTGTAGGATCCCTGGATTGTATGATCGAGTTCCGAAGGGGAGGAAGAGATCGTCAGACTTGCCGATAACAAGTGAAAATCGAAATCCCACCCAATGAAGAATTACCCAAACCAAAAAGGGAGAGCGAAATCTCTGCGCGTCACACGAGTAATCGGGGCGGAACTCCGGTGGATTCTACACAGGGTTCCCGAGCCGGCTATTGGTGGAGGAATACATTTCAAGAGCCTGGACGCCGTCATCTGGATCCACTTGACCAAGCCTCCAATGGGCTGGATCTTGTAAGGGGAATGACGCAGGGTGAGCTGTGTCCAGCTTCAGTGACCGGTTTGATCGTAGGAAGGTGTAGCGATATCATAGCTCCGAGGCCCCGTTTCGCAAATCTTGCCTTGGACTGCCAGACTCCTCTGCCAAGTACCAAGTACCAAGTACCAATTACCCAAGTATCAGCGACGCATTTT